GAGGCAGAACAGATGGCGACAGCCCTGGAAAACCAAGACACCCGCCTCACCCGCCAGGAGGAATTCCAGACATCCCTGGCTTCCCACATCAGCCAACTTACCTCACAAGTTCAAGTTCTGCACGCCCATCTCTTCCAGAACAGCACGGCCCCCGAGGCGCCGACGGCTGCGGCCGCTCCGGCTCCGACAACCGGCATCGTGGGAGTTGCAGGAAGGTTGGCCTCCCCAGAGAAGTTTACAGGGGAACAGGGACTGTGTAAAGCCTTTCTCATTGACTGTTCCATCCATTTCGAACTAACTCCTCATGCTTTCCCCACGGAAAGGTCCAAGATTGCATTTATGATGACCCACCTGACCGGGAGAGCCAAGGCATGCGCCTCGACGGAGTGGGCTCGTGACTCTCCACTCTGCTTCTCCTCCAGACTTTATATCCGCTTTGCAGAGGGTCTTTGACCCAGTGTCGATGGACCGCGAAAGGGCTCAGGAGCTGAGTGGGTTGAGGCAAGGTGGAGGCTCTGTTTGTGACTACGTCATCTGATTCCGCACCCTGGCTGCGGAGAGCGGGTGGAACTCACAGCATTATATGATGTTTTCCTGTAGGGGCTAGCGGCCCCTATTCAGGACCTCCTCGTTCCTTTGGATCTACCTGCAGATTTAGACTCTCTCATCATGCTCGCTATCCGGACGGATAACCGGCTCCGCCAACTCTCGCGACAGCAAAGCAGCAGTTCCGCGACAACTCCGGAGCGCACTTCAGCACCGGGCGGGCCGGCTCCCCACTGTTCTCCGCCAAAACCCCGCTGGTCTTCTGCCACGGACGAAGAGGAAGACCCCATGCAGCTTGGAAGGGCCCGGCTAGAGCAAAGGCGACAAGAAGGCCGTTGCTTCTATTGCGGGGACCGTGGTCACCGCATCGCAGCCAAGAGGCCCATAGGGGCCAGGCAGTCCGCTGCTCCCAGCTCCACTACACAAACTCTCACGGCCGTCAGGGTAATGCACCACACCACCACCGCACTCTTAGACTCCGGGGCTGATGAGAGCCTGATGGACTGGGGATTAGCAGAGAAGCTGGGCATTAAATCAGAACACTGGGTAAAGCCTATCCAGGCCAAGGCCCTAAACGGGGCAGAACTGTTCACCATCTCTCACGTCACTGAACCCCTCAAGCTAATCATAAAGAGACCATCCGTTTTTATTTATTCAAGTCACCGTCTCAGGCTCTGGTTTTGGGGCTGCCATGGCTGTTTCGCCACAATCTCCATGTAAACGGGAGAGATTATAGGATGGGGGGAGGACTGTGTTGAGGACTGTCTTGACCTCTCGATTCCAGGAAAACGAGGGTCTCCGTTAGGGCCACCGCGGACCCAGAGTACCCAGACCTGAACACCGTGCCCTCCTGTTATCACCAGGTTTTTAGCAAGACTAAGTCCATGTCCCTACCCCCACATCGACCATACGACTGCTCCATAGAGCTGTTACCAGGCTCCAGTATTCCCAAGAGGCGCCTATACTCCGTTTCAGGGCCAGAGAAGGAGGCCATGCGGGAATACATGCACACCTCTCTGGAAGCAGGGTTGATCCGCCCCGTCGTCTCCAGCAGGCGCCGGCTTTGTCTTCGTGGGGAAGAAGGACTGGTCCCTAAGACCATGCATAGACTACAGCCCACTTAACGACCTCACGATAAAGAAACGTTACCCTCTCCCTCTCATGTCCTTTGTGTTTGATCAGCTCCAGCAGGCCAAGGTTTTCACTAAGCTAGACCTCCGTAATGCCTATCATTTGATCAGAATAAAGGGGGTGATGAGTGGAAGACTGAGTTCAATACCCCAAGTGGACATTACGAGTATCTGGTCATGCCTTTTGGGCTGACAAACGCGCCAGCAGTTTTACAGGCCATGATTAAAGATGTCCCAAGGGATTTTTTTTTAGACCACTTTGTGTACGTGTATTTGGATGATATCCTCATCTACTCCCCTGACCTCAACACACATAGAGGTCATGTGTCTAAAGTGCTTGAGAGACTGTTGGAGAACAAGCTCTACGTTAAGGCCGAAAAGAGTGAGTTTCACACCGAAACCATCTCCTTCCTGGGCTTCATAGTAGCCCCTGGAAGGGTGCAGATGGATCCGGCAAAAATTAGCGCTGTGGCAGAGTGGCCCACACCAGATAGCCGTAAAAGGGTTCAGCAATTCCTTGGTTTTGCTAACTTTTACAGACGGTTCATCAGAGGCTTTAGCGCAATAGCTGCTCCTCTCCATATTCTTACCACCTCAAAGGTGCCGTTCCGGTGGACTCCGGAGCCGGAGACAGCCTTCCAGACCCTCAAGCGTCGTTTCACCTCAGCCCCCATCCTCATCATGCCAGATCCCCAGCGACAGTTCGTGGTCGAGGTAGATGCCTCCAACGAAGGGGTCGGGGCGGTGCTCTCCCAGCGGTCTGAGCAGGATAGCAAGATGCACCCCTGCGCATTATCAAGGCGGCTGTCCAAGGCTGAACGTCGGTAACCGCCGTCCGTACCCCGTCACCAAGGCCATTGGCCCGGCGGCAGTTCGCCTTCGTCTGCCTCGATCCCTCAGAGTCCACCCTACCTTCCACGCGAGTCAAGCTGGCTAAGAAGAGCCCGACGGTTCCGGCTGTCGTCCCGTCGCCACCAGTAGTGATAGACGGCGGTCCGGTCTACAAAGTGAAGCAGCTGTTGGGAGTACGCAATCGGGGCCGAGGTAGACAATACCTGGTGGACTGGGAATGATTCGGGCCGGAGGAGAGACAGTGGGTGCCGTCTCGTTTCATTGTAGACCCTCGCCGTATAAGAGATTATCATAGGGACCACCCTGAAAGACCTGGGCCGTCAGGAGTCTGCCCTAAAAGGGTGGGTACTGTCACACCCCGGTGAGATCAAGTTGGGGTTTTCTCGTTTTCGTGCCTTGTCTTGTCATTTCCTGTTTAATTTTGAAAGATTAACCCCTCTCTCGTTTCAGGTCACCTGCCCCTCATGTGTCACCAGTCAAATCGTCTCCCCTGATCCCTGATTGTGTCCACCTGTTTCCCATTACCCTCACGTGTCTTAGTCTGTGTTTCCCTTTCCCTGGTGCTGGAGTGTACCGACCGTTCTGCAACCTGAGCCTGTAACTCGGTGTCCCTTTGCCTGCCTGGTTCGGTCTTGCTTTTCCCGTTCTATAAGAGTTTCTGTTTATGGACTCAGTTCCTCCAACCTGTTTATTATACCTTTTGTGTTTTCCTCCTCATGGAGTGATTTTGAGTTTTTTGAGTTTTGTGAAATTTTGAGCCAAATAAAGACTGCCTTTTTCTGTTCATGAGTCCTCTCTTTAAACGTGGGCCTGACAGTATCATGTTTTACCTTTTCACAATGGCAGACTAAAGGAAAAACAAAAACCCATTAAGGAACAGAATACGGCCAAACAAATTACACCTTTACCTTACAGAAAGTTTAATTAAAATTTTGCAGTCAATATATTTTACACTCTCAAATTTAATATTTTATTAATTAATTAATCAACTTTGCTCATGGAGCTACAAAGGACTTGGGCTCGGCGTCTTCTGCCCCTTTCTCGATCCGCTGCCAGCTGTAGCCATCTCTTCATAAACATTTCCATCTCCCGTTCAGAAGCCCTCAAGTAGGTTCTTTACAGCAGCTGATGTGGAAAAAAAGTTTCCAAAGACATTAAAGTTTCTGTTGGTAAAAACAAATAAAATGAGGTGAAATTCTATTTGAACTATGAGGAGCATTTACCGATTACAGCCGCCTTCAGTTGTAGGGAAGCCATGGATGTTTTCCCATTTACTCCTCTCCAATTGGTCTCCTTTGCGAGGGTGTTTGATATTGTGTGCTTCATTAGCCGCCACACTGTGTCCTTTACATCACTTCCGCCAATCAGGCTGAGGTGGTTTATCTAAAGTATGAATAGATTATATGTGTGCCTCTTGTCAGTGTGAGGGGTGGGACCTTAGGACCTGGGAGCCTCAGCATAGAGCGGGAGGCTTAAACTCAAGGAGAGCCTCTCCATATAAAGGAGATCCCGTGAGAGTTGAGCAACTCACGTTTGTTCTCGTTGTCCAGCATGTGCTGAAGTCTGGGTGCTTTGTTTGTTGCTCGCCAGTACCGTGCGGGTGAGCAAACCGTACTAAGGAGGTAGGTTGTGCAATTTTAATCTACATCTTGTAGGCCATGGGGAAATTAATATAATGTTCTTTTCTATGGTAGAAGGTTAGACCTGAACCAGACCTGGTGAGCCCAGGGTCCTACCTGCTGGTGCACAGGTGCATTGGGCCAAGAAGGTAGGAAGTTGGGCTTGCAAGCACATTATGCGTTTTGTAATAAGAAGGATGGTGGGTACTTGGTGATTAATGGCTGTTTTGTGCATTTCAGGCTGAACTGGTGACACGTAGTGGTCAGCAGGACAGCCACTGCTCTTTTTCTCCGACCATAGTTTTAGTTTAGATTGTGCTCCAGTGCCTCCATCTTGCTCCCTCTATTTATAGAGATAACACACTGATATTGTGCCCTTTTGATGACCGTTGCTTCCCCCTTCCCCACTTCTATTGTGTTGTGTCTTTTAACTAGGATCAGTAATCGTATTTGAGTGTGTTGGTTTGTAGTGTTGCTTATTTTAGCCTTTCTTAACAGTGTGCAGTGTTTTTATTGTTGGAAGTGTCATTGTGCCCCCGGTCAATCACTACTGGTATAAATTATTTGGATGTGGTTTTATAAAGTTATTGTTTAAATAAAAGTGATATTGCATTGTACACGCAGAAGCCTCTGTCTGTCTATGATCTACCTCGTATGGGGTTTTGGCCAATAAGATAATTGAATTCAGGGTCTCTCCCCTCCAAAGAGAGTGGCGTTGTCACGTCTGGATACTATTCCAAAGTATTTTAAGTGTCCATTAGGTCACATCAGGAAAAAAATACTCATTCACTCACTCACCAGTTTTGATCAAATCAGATTCCTGAAGTTGGCTTTTGAGATTTTGGAGGCCTTGCTGGTCCCTTACTGGCAGGAGACCCTCATCCATTTCAAATTGAGGGACATGTTTTCTGGCATGTAGAATTTTTAGGATGTGCGTTTGCTGCTCGAGAATCATCTCCTGCTTGGTGAGCATTTCCTGCATTAATGCTGAAAAAGAAATATGTAAAATATGACATACAAGAATTAAAAGTTGACTTTGGGGTTTTTACGTGATTAATTACATAATTTGGCTCCCATTCCTAAAACAGAATGAAGCCATTTGATATAATGGAGAGTTCAACTGTTTTAGGGATTTAGGTTGTATTCACACCTAAATGTTTTATGTCCATTCAAGTGTATATTTGACAATTATATGGTTTGTATATGCTTTACACAAAGGTGACACAAACAGTGATGTACCACCACTACTAAATACATTCAGGATAAACGCCAAAACAATACATAAATGCTCTTGCACTTACAGTTTGTAGTTTCAAATAGGGCCTCATGACTCCAGGATCTGTGCCATCCTGGAGTTTATGCACTGGCTGAGGCCATGGATTTGGATGATCGGGATCTTAGATTTGGGTAGAAAAAAAAATGCTTCTAGCCAAACATAAATACTGAGTTAAGGTAAGTTCAGCATCTACTGTCATCCATTTGCATAATTACAGTGTAGACAGAGTTAAGTCACTGGAGTGATGAACGTACCTAACAAATAAAAAGACATGTTCATTAGGAAAAGAAAATCCATTGAAATCACGTTGAAACAGAAAATGTAACTCTGAATTATTTAACACATTGAAACTAGGCCTCTTACAGTCAACTCTTGCAGGTGTCTTGCTGTAGATCCCACTTGGTGAACTGTCTTCTGTGAAGTGGCCTTCTGGTGAATGAATGTCCTTGTTTCTTGTTCTTGTTTCTGGGGGAACTGGACAGTTTGTAAACAGGACAGAGATAAATCAGAATTAATAAGAGTGCATTGCTGACAGAATACAAAACATTTTAACCACCGTTTGAATTCTTCACTGCATGAAAAGTGGGATTTTCGGCAGTATGCGGCGGCACTGTAAATTGTCGTGGAATTTAAGGTTTGCGGCTGTTCACGGCAATTTTCGGGCAACGCCGACAGAGCCCGGTCCCCCACTGACTGACTCTGACATTCCACCGGTCACTGTCCTTCATACTGCACATGTCACTTTAACTGTCATTTCTCACTCGTCACTTTGTCGTCACTCGTCACTTTATCACTTGTTCGATAGTAAATATTAGACACAGACAAGTACACTAAGTAATATATACTTTTTAAATACTTTCAATTTTTAACTTTAACTTTATTCTCTTGTTTTATACTAACCCATGGCCTTATTCTACCAACCCATTGCATTAGCATTTCATTTTATTTTATTACTTGTGCACTGCTGTCTTGTTGTCTATTGTTACACTGTCTACTGTCACGCACCAAGACAAATTCCTTGTATGTTTGACATATTTTGGCAATAAATGTTTCCTGATTCCTATATGTTTTCGTTAACATTTCAGTTACAATGTGAGATATACAACTAATTCTCTTACTGTCACCAACTCTTGATGCAGGCGTCTCGTGGCAGCTCCCATTATTTTGTGGCCTTCGCAGGGTCCATGAATTGGATTTTATTGGAGGTACCTGGACAGCTTAAATAGACTAGAGTAACTTCAAACCATTGTTTTGTTTTGTTACCTGATCCCTGCAACTTGCTGAGTCCTCTATCTACTATGAGTAGGCTACAACTTACTCCAAATAAAAGCTAAAAGATGTTTTAACACAAGTTATCATTCAAAACAAATCCTACTTTTTTGTAAAATTAGAGAGAATTTTATTTTATTTTAAATATTTAAGTCAACTTGTAGGTACCTGCAGGTGAATCTTGTGGCCTTTGCAGGGTCCTTTGATTTTCAGGCTTTTGTGGCTCCTGAAAAGCTTTAGTTCACATGACAAACATATTGAGGATGTTATAAAATTATGTCATAAGGAAAATTATGAATGACCATAATTTGTCAATTAAAACATTAATCAAGACACGTGTTGAATAAACATTTACATTCACACTGCTGAAGCCACTGATTGGGATATGGAGTCTGCAAGCTGTTCCTCTGGTCGTCTGCATGCCTGCAAGGAAAGCAGGAAAACTGGCACATCTCGTCTTCCAGTTGGTTTTGGTTAAGGCCAGCATATGTTTGTTGAGTGGAGGTCAATCTTAGAGTGGAGAGTTGTCAGGGTTTTTGGTGGGCTGATTGGTGGAGCATCCGGTAAACCGTTGCTATGCTGCTGTAGCCCTGATTCATCCTCATTATCCGCCAGATAAGTGTCGGCAGTTGGTTGAAGTCGGCTACTTGGTCTATAAAGATATTATATTGAGATTAGGTTTAGCTGCATAAAAAGTAGTGTTGTAAAAACAAAGTGATGCAAAACAGAGGTAAACATAACCCTTTCCCAGATTCTTTGAGACGTGTTGGTGGCATCGAAATAAAAAAATGATAAAACAATACAATTTCTCTTTCAACAGTCAGTCTATCTACAATTAAACATTTATATAAGTGATTTGAAAACAATTTGCATTATGTTTTAATTTACATTTTACAGCATCCCAACTGTTTTGGAATTTGGGTTCTATTTTATTTTACAGATTGACTGAATATTAACCAAGTAAAAAAGTGTCTGGACTCTGGATCTGACAGCAAAGCGAGGAAGGATGCTAATTAATATGGTGATTGAATATGACACTAAATAAAGGTTTGTAAGAATGAGATTTTAGAAACGTATACTTAAATACACAGTATTTGTTTGATATATTTCCCAGAACCAGCTGTTACTCTGGAACTGGAAGGACCAAAATAGCAATAAAACATTAACTTCAGATAGAAACTGCTCACAGTACTTCACCTTTTTTCGCCTTGCCCCCCTTCCACGGCCATCTTCAGCATCCGTCTGATTGCTGTTCAGCTTCGCGCAGCTTTTGTCTGCCTTCCTGATATTTATCTGTTCAAATGTATTTTGAAATCTCTGGTCATTGACTTAAATACTGACAAATAGAACGGTGCACAGCAACAAAACAAAGTTTAAGATTTCCACTAGATTCAGAACTAAGTTGTGTTTTTGGTTAGGGGGAATCAATACTGACACCAATAGTATGCTACTCCCCATCATTTTGGACAAAAAAATACATAGTATACATAACAGTTGTAAACATCTGTCGAACAGTCCATGGCATCCAGCTTGCTTCAGGATTGACTTTCTGCTTTATAGCAGTCTCCAAGGCCTTCCCTTGGAGCGCTGGCCACAGGCATTCATTGTCCTTTACCAAGCGCCTGGCACCAACTCCAACTCACTGGTCTCCAAAAACTTGACTATCTTAAACATGCTTTTCTGCCAGAAACATATTGAATATATATAGTGAATACAGTTTTGTAATGAAAATCACAAAAGGGTATTTCAAAATTTAATGTCCAAATGTCCACAGCAGGACCACAATGTGTTACTGACTACCGGGCCGTAGTCGGTATATCGTATGTGGCCCACACCCTTACAGCAGGATTACATTAGGTTTAAGTACATTTGCCCCCAATATGTCAATGTCCTCAAAAGAAAATAAAGCAATTATTAATTAATGTAAAAGTTTTTGTTTTATGAAATAAGTCATGCCAAATCCGAGTAGCCATCTGCTTGCTTAATGGCTTAACCTTCATTTCTGATTCACAAGTATAGAATTTTACCAATGGCAAACTAACGTAAACGTGAGCTAACCGGTGTCTCAAACGACTGTCATGGCACCTGGAGGTTTTAATAAGGGAGTTTGACTTAAAAATAGAATCAACTTTTAAATGAGAGCTTTCCTCTATGAAAAACGTACAGCTCCTAGCAGTCACCCCTATATTTCGACGAGAAAAACTCTGACTTCTAAGTGGAGACCCGAACTAACTAACGTTAGCTAGCAAAAGTAGCTACCGCTAATACAATTTCAGCTAATACAATTTCAGCTGGCGAAGAATATGGATCAAAAGTGAAGTTTAAACACAGCACGCAACACTGACAGACAACCTTTTGATTGTGGGTAATCAAATATATATGTTTAACAAAGTCGTACTTACCAATAGTGGACGTAAAAACGATGAAGTGCACCGACTCTCGTTTCCCAACCACGTCGAGGGTATTGGAGCGCTTGGTATATTCAAAAGGGTCTCCCGTTGGTGTCCTCCGAATGATTTCACACAATACTCTTTACTTAAATGATACGCCCACTTCTGGGCCAATTCTGGCACATACACAGATAATCTGTCCGTCAGTCAGCCGACACTGGCGGAAGACAGCCAGAGTCGGCCCAGAACTGACTGCTATCTGGGAGGTTTCTTAAGAATAACCTACCTTCAACCTACCTTCAACCTACCTTGAAGGACTGTGGTCAACAAATAAGTATTCATAACATCCCGTAAAGACGTGCCAATTAAAATGAAAAACTTCCTTAAGCAGCCCAGTCTGAATTGGATCCAAGAGACAAGTAGAAGATTTAGACTTCAAAATTCTCAAAGTCAGTTGATCAAGGTTCATGGAAGAGAAGCAATCCAACCAGGTATCAGGGCCCCCAGATGCATCCAAGGTTCCTACATCCGAGGATGGGTCGGCACTGGTTGAAGGCAGGAGACCATCAATTTTCTCTTTGATAGTCAGAATCTTATTATTGAAGAAGTTCATGAAGTCGTTACTACTGAGATCCAAAAGAATACTGTACGCTGCTCGACAGAGCTGGGTATTCTGTCAGTCTGGCTACAGTGCTACAGACGTCGGCGTGTGTGCGACGCACACAAGATTGCAGTGAGGACACGCAACCAGGACATAGATGAAAACAGGCACATTTCGTCCAAAATAAATAATTCATTGTGTGTGTGATTGGGTGTTTCCCCAACAAACTGAGTTCATAGGTGCATCTCAATATATATGTATATATACGTATACATGTTCTAATAGATTTTGTATAAATAGATTTATATTGTGTCCTTTAATATAATATATTTTCTATGTGATATTTATATTGGATATCTGTAACTGTAATCTGTAATCTTAACTATTTTTTATATATATATATATAGAGTATATATATTCATACTGAATTGTTTGAATAAGATGTCCTTAAACGCTAAACCGGAATAAATATTTAACTGCAAAGTAATAACGCGTGGTTGATACCTTTTTTTCATTGAATCGTAGCGCGATGTTTACTGAAACTGATTGGCTGGCCCTAACAAAAGAATAGGAAGGAAGTGCAAAACAGGAAGTAGTAGAGCTGTGCCGTGTGGCATTACATTTACAGTCCACATCAATCTAGTGTTTGTGTTTTTCAGAAAGCGATGACTATTTTCTTTGTGTTTAATGATATAGAATAGTGACTTCTCTACTTGAGTTGATTAAATGTTTTGTATTCTCTTTTCCAGTTTTACTCCAATTTAACGTCCCCAAGATGTCCTATGTATGTGGATATTGAAAGGATCAAGCATACTCGCACTCCTGGCTCTTAAAAAAGGAGTTTGGCTGGCTGTTTATTTGTGTTAACGCTTTTTGAAAGTAAAACACATAAAGAGAACAGTACAGGATGCATCATCGAATGATATCCTGCTAGCTAAATATTATTTCCACTCCTTCAGAGTAAGCAACTAAAAAAACAAGCCCGGAGAGTATCGAATTTATATGAATGAATGAATGAATAGATACCTATGAGGATATATGTATGGATGTGCTCATGTATCATGAATATGTGTGTATATACAGATATGTAGATTACCATAGGCTATAGAACTACACTGCAAAAACTGATTTTTAAGAAAGTAAAAAAACATATTTGTAGAAAATTTGTCTTATTTTTAGTCCAAAAAATAATAATCTTGCCAAGCATTTTTGACATATGAAAAATTGAAAATATATCTTCCTTTTTTTCAATAAGATTTACCAACTAATATCAGGTTAGATTTAACTAGTAACAAGGTATGGACATATTTTGCAAATTATCCCAGCAAAGGAGCAAGATTATCTTCCTTATTGTTGGAATGCATTAAGCATTCCAAGTATTGTTCTTCTATTCTTTATTCCGACTCATTGTTGGAATGCATTAAGCATTCCAAGTATTGTTCTTCGAATCTTTATTTCCGACTTATTCTTCTTCCGCCGCACCTTTCAACTCCTTCACACTTTCAGCTATTGAAACCATTCAAATATTAAAATATTCAGCTCCTTTCCGGCTTTCCAGCTATAACTTCCCAGCTTTCGACCTCTTAAGCTTGAATTTATATAAATCAATAATCATGAATATTTCTTCACATGGTTTTCAAATGGAAATCGTTTTCAAATTCTCTAAAACTTCAACTTTCAGATTTTTCCGCTTCGCCAATCTTTCAGCTACAGACACCATTTAAACTTTCAAATGTTGACACAAGTCTCAACTGTTTTATGAAAAAACTGCTCGTTGATATCTATTCTAATTTTTTCATAATCACTGATTATGTTTCACTAGTTCATAGAATCCCAGAGTTCTTTACTTTTGGCTTTCGGAGTGTTAAAGTGACACAACCTCTGCCAAAAGCCCCATAGGCTCCAATACAAATCTGGCGATATATTTCTCAAAAAATCTGACAGTATCTCTGTCTGTGACTCACAGCTGCTCCTATTACCTGATTAATGGAGTCACATGACGCAGCTATGCTTTCTGTCAACAGACCAACATGATGAAGACACTCGCCCCGCCCTCCCCCCTCCACCCTGACCTCTTCTCACTGTTAATCACTCACTCAGTCAGTCTGTCTGTCTAATTCTCCTCCCCTCTCCCTCTCTCTCTTCCTCACCATCCCTCCCTTCCTCATCCTCCCTCCATCTAAACCACCCCACCCAATCCAATAATTTCAAAATAAAAGCCCCATGGAGGGACTTCTTACTGTAAAGTTTGTGATGAGGCCTGCCAATTCATAACTTCTTAGTTTGAATAACATTCTGTCTGCCAACCCCCCCCCACCAATTTCCATCATTTGAAAATACAAGCCTCAATGATTATCTGTACCTTAACCATGAAGCTCAGAATGAAGCGGTTTCGTTGAAATACGTATTGCTCTTTAAAATACTACTACAACCATTACGAATATTACTAATAGTTAATAGTTAACTTAATAGTACTTCCAGTACTACAACTGATACTTCTACTACCATACTACTAGTATTTCTACTGCTAT